TTGATAGCCTAAATCATTAGATAATAACAATAAGCTTGTTTTCTGGATGGTTAACAACTTAAGTTTGTACATATCTTTTTAAGGCATCGTCTTTACCTAGATACTTAACATTCTGAGCCCTTCCTTGAAAGTCTGCTAATCTTCCTCTGTTAATCTGGGGTTCTAGCTTGTATCATTTTTCTTAGTCTAAAAATTTTTGAAATTTCTTATAGTTCAGGTCTTCTGAAAAACAACTCTCTTAGCTTTTGTCTATCTGATAATACCTTTAACTTATAAACAACAGAAACTTTAAAGAAATGTCAAATCACCAATTTCATAGACTATCTTATGAAACTTTGGGATTCTTTTACCATCTTACTTGGGGGAAAGAAGGGTTACAAGAAAAAAGACAAAGTAGAATATCACAGGTTCTCTACGAGAATCACAGGAAGTTTTACATGCTTTAGAATCGACAACAGCATAAGCAGAATGTTCCTGTAAAAACACTTGACTCTTCTCTTGAGCCTGCAAAAGTCCAACAGGTAACTGAAAGCAGAATAAAAACTTAGCATGTCTCCCTCCATCATGTATCATCTCCTTTGCTCTGAGTCACTGTCTGGCAGCAACATCAGGTCTGATCTACAAACACCTTATGGTGACAAAACTACACCCAGGCAACAGCAACTTTCTTATAACAGATTATAATGAGCCAGACCACCTTTTGACAAATACCGCTTGACTACACATACTTATGGTCTCTTTGTCTATGTAATCTGGGAGGTTATGCCAGTACCTCTGTAGACAGGGCAAAAGAGGCAAGACTTTTGTCTTTCCAGTAGAGCTATAATGACTCAAGTTCTTCCCTACCCTCAATACTGTTCATCTTTGGACTGGCATCTTGAAACAGGTGGCAGAACCTAGTCTTTCAGAATCCTTCAAGCTGGCACTGGTGGCCCAAAACTCTGGTAACAGTCCTTATCTATCTTCTAACTTACAATAACTTTTTTAGTTGGACAAATACAGATGTAGCCTGTTATTCCTTTTTTGGTAAAAGCTAAGACTTACATTTTTGACCATTATCCAAGATCCCTACAGAAAGTCAAGATTCTCTCATTTCTGACATTTCCAAGCTCCCAAAATAGCAGAAAAGAGGTAAGGCTTTTGACTGAACTATAAAACTTTTCTAAATGAACAGAGACTATGACGTTAAAACAAAATTATTTTCCTTGCATTAGAATACCTTGATTCAAAAAATACCTCATCTATAGTAAATGCTTTATTCTTTTATCCAATAAACATGAAAGAATAACAAGACAAATTATATCCAAAGAAAAGCAAAAATACCCTCACTTAAGTCAAGAACTTTAATCAACTTTTTTAATAAAGAGCATTGTAACAGCTATATGGGCTTTTCTACTTATAATGACTATTCCTGCCTCCTGTGGTATTCTTCTATATTGCAAACAGTGGAAGCATGAAAACTACACTACCTGAAGTCTTTTGTTACCAGGGTTAGGTTTTGGATAGACTTACATAAGATGTGCTTACTCAAACTGGGCATGGTGATGCATGTCCACAATCCCTGCACCCTGAGAAGCTGAAGCAGGAAGATCACAAGTTTGAACCAAATCTGAACAACTCAGTCAGACTTAGTCTAAAACTTTAAAAACATTTAAAGAGCAGAATATTAAGGCTCTGGGTTCAATCCCTAGTAACCTCTTGCATCCTCCCCCAAAAGATACAAAAGATGTGGTTGTTCCAATATTCTGAAAGTAAATGGGAGGAGTCCATTTTTCCTCTGGCTATCATGATGGCAGCAGATGTGTGAGATTTGGAAGACTTTTTGCAGTTCAACTCTGCATTTCAGTGTTAGCAAAGTTCCATAATAGTTAAACATTCATGTCTCTGGATATTCTTTTAATATATTTTTGAGCATATCATGTGTTGCTTCCAATTAGTCAACAATCAATTAATCAAGATGTTTGCACTAGCATAAAAACATGGAAACCTTGTCAAATACGTTCTACCCCAAAATAAAAACTTCTTTCTTAATCTCTAGAGCTACTCATTATCTATTTCCATTTATGAGAATCATCCTGAATAATTTTCCCCACTTTTTTACTTTATTAATCAAATGCATTTCAAGTAGATTTGTCATCACAACTACAATGAAACAACTTTTGTCAGTTACTAACAAGTTCTAATAATCTACAAGTTATAAAATGATCTAAAAGTTCAATGTTAATTTCTCAATTGTCATTCATTAATATCTCTTAGCCTGAAGTTAATTGTATCTTCTTTAAAAAAATTTTTTTTGTATGGGTTTTAGGTGTGAACTTTTTGCTATGATAGAGGTTTGCTACACATCTTCCTTCTCAAGTGGTCCTCTTTAGCCTCTAATGGAGTTGACCCAAGAATCAGTTCCTCAATCTCTTTTCTTTCCTCTTTGATTTCTCAGTAGGAAATACTACCCAAAATGAAAGTGGTAATTTCAAATCCCTACTAAACTCCAGACCTAGATACTTGATTGTCCACTAGACTTCTCCACTTAAATACCTAATACTCATCAAATTCAACATGTCTCTCTGCAACTTTTCCATCTTCAATCTTGGTCTCAGTGAATAGCATCATTATTCATCCACTAATGAAAAGGAGTTACCATTAATTCCTTTTATCTTAAAGCAACAATTTCAAATAGCTCTACTTTCAAACTATATTTGGCATACAAATACTTTCTCCAGTTTCACATGTATCACATTAGTACTAGTCCCCAAAAATCTCTCACCTAGACTACTAAAATGGTATCTTAACTGGACTTCCCTATTTCTACTAATCTATTCTTTCAAAACCTACTGTGTGGCAGCTAGAATGACCTTTCAAAAATATAAATCAGGAATTAGAGTCACTGCTCAATGGTTGAGCACTTTACATAGCATGTATGAGGCCTTGAGGTTGATCCCCACTACCATCAAAAAAAGTGTAGGTAAATCAGATTATGTCACTACCTTGGTCAAACTTTTCTCTTTTCTTTTTTTCTTTCTTTTCTTTTTTTTTTTTTTTTTTTTTTAGATAGAGTCTCAGGATGTAGTACAGGCTGATCTTAAGCTCGCTTATACAGCACTGGCTGGCCTCACACTCATGGCAATCCTCCTGCCTCAGTTTCCCAAGTGCTACAATGCTAGTGTGCCTGGCATGATCAGGGTTTTCAGTGGTGTTCCCTCATGCCAATGATGCAAGCTGGTGAAGTCTGCTATGGTCTCACTTCTCAGTCTCTCCGATCTCATGTCCTACCTTGCTCCCCTCAGTCACTTGCAATCCAGCCGTGCTTCTCTTCTTCCTCCATATGCAGACTCTTTCTTCCTGTTCCCTGTCTGAAAGCCCTTTCTGTGTATTTCCCCCTAAATCACTGTACTATTTTCTCTGTCATTCTCTGCCAATGGCAAAAGCAGTACCCTCACCAACCCATTCTTTTCTTGTGCACAAAGGAAAACTATATGTTCCAGTCTCCCTAGCAGTAAGCAAGACAAAGCGACAGTCTTAACCAACTAAATAATTACTAATATCAAGGTCTGATTACTAAAATATTTGATGTGATTTTCCAAACTCTCTCTTCACCAACACCCAAAGCTAGAAGCAAAAGTTTTAAATTATTGAAGCTACATTGTAGAAGGAACATTGTTACATACTAGAAAGAACACTTAAGACACTGCTTGGAAATAAGGCAGTCGAGAGAAATATTTTACACTTTGTAGAAGACAAAGTTTTTAAACCATTAAGTTATAGAGGTTTTTTGTTTTGGTTTTGGTTTTAGTTTGTTTGGGAATCAAACTCAAGAATTCTCACTTGCCAGGCCAGAACTGTCTGAGCTATATAGGTTGTAGAGATTTTGAGGCTGCTCTAACAGCCAGAATTAATTACAGTATGTAGAATTTCTTCAGGGAAACTTTTTCTGACCACTCAATTTCAAATAGCTATTCATTTCTCACTTCAAATTCTAACCTTCCACAATGTTTTATTTTTTAGTAAACTTATAACTAACTCTGAGTATATGTATTTATTTACTGATTTATTCATTACTTTCTCACTGTATCGTATATGTGCTGCCGAAGCGAGCACACTCTCACTGTATCGTAAGTTCCATTAAAGTAGGGATTTACCACACTCACCCCTATTCTCAGGCCTTACCAGTCCCCGGCTCATTACCATCACCAGGGGTGATTTTCCTGGCAGCTCCCAATGTGCCAGCTGCTAGTCTAAGTGCTTCAGAAGTAGTAGTAAGTATCTGATGAATGATGGACCACTATAAATGATGCTTTATGACCAACCGCATTAGGATAAAAGCTCTCCTGACTAGTTCTAAATAAATGCTGGCATTAACCCACACTGGGTCATGTCCGAGTTCAGAAATGTCCTCCTTGAATGCATCCTCACGTCCACACTGCCTCATGTTTCAACACGCTCTTATTGAACAGCTCTAAGAAGAGCTGAGATACACATACTTTATATCACATATGTAGTATATTATATGTATTATATTTATTATATATAGAGAGAATTTATTATACCAAGTATTTGTCAAAAATATTTGATAAGAGAGATCTTCGCACAGGAACTCCTGGTTTGAAGCAAATTTGAAGGAGAAGGCAGGAAACAGAGCATGGCTGAGCAGAAAACACTAGTGCCATAAAACCTAAGAAGAGAGTTTCAGTGTCAAAGACAGCCACATCAGAAGCAGCAAGGGATTAGGTAAATCTTAAACTTCCAAAATATCCAGGGAAGAGCATAACTGCTGGGGGAAGTCTCCCAACTGTGCCAGCCACTGTCTGAAGATAAGGAGAAACAAACCTGAAGAATATGGGTCTTCTGTTGATTATTTGTCATTCTTCTTGACTTGGTCCTTTCTACTTCGTGTCTATGAACCCAACCTCGAAGTTCATGATTTAACCTATAAAACACACTTCATTAATTAAACATATTTCACAGAAACAAAAGTGTTGTCTCTTGGCTGGAAATGAATTTAATCATTCTGTAGATTCCAAAGAGGACCTTATTACTCAATATTGGTTTTTGACTTGAAAAAAGACACTTAATCTTGCTTTTAATAAGACGTGCATTTTTACATGTCAATCTCTTCAATTATGAGTTCAAACTTCAAAGAAAAGCATATTTAAATATCTGCTCAAAATAAATACTGGCTGCAAAAGTTTCTCCACAAAAATAACTATTTCCTATATCTGCTCTCGAGCTATGTACAGTATATACAAGCATCTGAGACACTAGAGAAATCCTAACAGGTCATCACAGGACTCCTATCGACAAATGGATACACTAAAACCTTTGAAAATCCTGGTCTCTGAGAAGGAAAACAATCAACCCAAATACCAAAAGAGAGAAAGTAAGTTTACATTTCTCAACAGCATAAATTAAAGGCTGGTTCAATTATAACTTCCACCTGCTTACTTTCCAGAGAGGCTGTAAGGGTGTGAGGCTATGCTTATCTGACTATAGCTGATTACTACTTAACACACACACACACACACACACACACACACACACACACAAAACTGAGGCAGATTTGGAGGTGCAGGGACGTGTCCCAGAATCATAGGAAAAAATTCATGTGAAAAGTTGATAAGGAAGGGTGCAAGCATAGAAAATGTTTATGTATCACACATCCTCAAATTATTATCTTGCTAATTGAAGAAAAACATACTTTTTGCTATGGATGTTACCATCCACAAACATAGCCCTTGCACTGAATTTTAACATTATTTTGGAGGTTTCAAATAAGCCAATTTGGTTGAGGAGATAGCTCAGCAACATAAGCACACCTGCCTGCCAAGTACAAGGTCCAGAGTTCGACCTCCAGTACCACACACACACACACACACACACACACACACTCAAGTATTCCACCATCACATCCAATAGATCCATCACCATCTCTATCAGGGTGATAGAGAAACTGGACAAATACACATATGGTTATCCAGGAAGTAACTCAGAATCAGAGCAGGAAACACTAGTGCCATAAAGCTAAATTAAGTATCATAAAACCTAAGAGGAGAGCTTCAGTGTCCAAGACATTAGAAGCAGCAAGGGGCGGTAGGATTAAATAAATCTTAAGCTTTACTTTTCACATGAGTTTTTTCCTATGATTCTGGAAAACGTCCCTGCACCTCAAAATCTGCCTCAGTTTTGTGTGTCTGTATGTGTGTTAAGTAGTAGTCAACTATAGTCAAATAAGCATAGCCTCACACCTTTACAGCTTCTCTAGAAAGTAAGCTGATGGAAGCTATATTGAACCAGCTTTTAATTTATGCTGTTGAGAAATGTAAAGCTTAAGTTAAGTAAATCAGAATCTGCTACAGATTCTCTTAGCCGGGGCTGGTGAGATGGCTCAGTGGTCTAAAGCACCTACTTAGAACAAGCTTAGCAAAGCACAGGGACCACGGTTCAATCCCCCAGCACCACATGCCAGCCAGCCCCACCCCCTGGTGGGCTGAGCTGGCCACACACACACACACAATAAATAAAATAAAATAAAATAAATAAATAAATAAATAAATAAATAAATAGATTCTCTTAGCCATTCAGTAAATCTGAATAAATACTTTTTAAGGTTCCAAAACTAACTATGGGAGCCCACTTAGATATTTCTGCCAAAACCTACAACACTTACCTGAGTGACTCAGTTGTGTTAATCAGGGGCTGACAGGGAGGTGGAGGAATATAAAGTAGTGGTTCTTCAGTTAGTACCATTAGGGCTTTGTCATTTGAAACAGAATGATCGTATCTGAAACATACATCACATTGTTGGTTTTCTTGTCTCTTAAATTCCAAGGAAGTTTGCTTAAAGAAAATCACCACTGGCATCAACTTTTCACTGAAATAAATATATGCTAAATAGAATACTCTGCAAGGTAAAAGTAAATATAATAGAAAAAGAGAGACCATCAACCATATAGGAAAATTTGTCATTTTGAAAATTTCTACAGAGATAGCATAGTAATTCAGGTTTACCCTTCATTGAGCAATTAATGTGCATCAAAAATAAGGGATACAAGGATGACATACAGTTTATGCCTTCAATGAGCTTAAAATGACAACATAATGGGAGAATTTCAAAGAAAGATCAAGTAGTTGACAGGAAAGACAGAATTATGCGACCAGGCCTAAGTCATGTGGTCATTCACTGCTGCACAACAATAGTACTGAATAGCCTCCCTAAAGCAAATACGTCTGAGGTGTGGGCAGGGTAATCCATAAAACACTTGGCAGGAATTAGGGGAAAGAGTAGAAAAGTTAAAAAATCTCAGAATCATGGATCTGAATCACTAACAATACACAAGGGTGATAGTAATTACTCTATTAGCCTAAAAATATTTTTCTAATCATCATTTCAATCTATAACACACAAATTCATATACAGGGCATTATGTTGGGTAGTAAAATCTGAGTGTGAAATTACTATCTAAGCTGGGGACGTTACTGTTACTTATTCTCTTCACTCTGTTATTTTAATTATTGTCCTAAGAAACCTTAGATTTGTCCTAAAATTATTTCTGTAGGATGCTCTGGATTTATAAAACCAAATATGCTAAAATACCAAAAGAAAAAAAATAAACATATAAAAATGGAACACAGCGAGATTCATGCTTTTGGGCTGAGGATGTGGCTCAGTGGGAGAGCACTTGCCTATCATCCACCAGGCCCTGGATTCAGTCCCCAACACCACAAAAAAATTAAAAATTCATGCTTTTATTTTTTCATTCAAATGAATATCAAATGCATGCCAGGTTCTATTCTAGATCCTAGAAATTCAATAGAAAAAAAAGTCTGTACTAACCTTAGCATCTATTTTATATAAAATGGTCTGAGGAGATGATATTTAAGTAAAGTCCTAAATGATATGAAGAAGCCAGCCCCCTAGAAACTGGAGGAAGAGAATTCTAGATAGAAGCATGTGGGGGAAAACAGCTGCAATAACATAAAAGAAGACCACTGGCTGAAGAATTCTGATCAAGTGAGAGGAAGCAGGCACCAGAGGAAGCTTGAAAGACAGAAAAAGCCAATCATGGCAAGGAATTATTCAATGAGAACTCACAATAATATCCTGAGTAGTGAAATGAAATACTTGAATTTATATCTTAGATATAAAATGGATTTGAAGACGGCAAAAGGAAAAGCCTGGATACCACTTAGGAGAGAACTACACAATCCAGGCAAGAATTGATGACAACATGGACTAGGTGCATGGCAATGGAAATGGAGACAAGTGGCCAGATTCAAAGCAATTTTGGGGATGACTGCTAACAGCATTTGTTGAAAGAGTAATCAGGAAAAAAATAGGAATTAGGGATTCCAGCTTAAACAAGAGAATTAAGGAAGACTGTTGTAGATGATGGCTTAGAGTTAAAAAGAAAGGAATTCTGTGCATGTTACATCTGAAATGTTAGAGGTCAAGGAGACGAACGGATGCAGGAATCTAGGAACTCAGAAAAGTCAAGACTGGAAAATGAATTTGAGCATCATCAGGACATAGAGACAAAGATTTTGTGCTAAATTACAGGTGAATCAAAAAAGAAAACAAGTTCATAGCTCCAAACCTTGAGAGGAGGAACCGGCAAAAAAAAAAAAAAAAAAAAAAAAAAAGACTAAGAAGCAGCAGGCCAATAAAAGAGAAGGAAGACTAACTGCAGCTACATGAAAGGAGTCTCCTAAGGAGAGAGTGGTCCAGATCACTGAGTGCTGAGGAAGATCAAGACAGGTAAAGACACACGTTTCCACTGCATTTGGCAACACTGAAATCACTAATCACTGGCCCTTTGATAAAAATAACTTTGGCAGAGTGAAAAACTTCAAGATAAAAGTTGGAGAATACTCTGTGCGTGTGTGTGTGCGTGCGTGCGTGTGTGTGTGTGTGTGTGTGTGTGTGTGTGTGTACAGAGAAAAAGAAGAAATAGCTGAGGATACTTCAGTTTTCTTTTCAGCGGGAACATTCTTGATGTGCTCTTTTCTATCATTGGAGTTAAGTACAGGCAGGTAATTTAGAGTAAAAACGGACATACTGATACGCAGGGAGTGAAGGTGGCACACTGTCTTGTGCTCAGTAAATGTATATCCTTGTGAATGCCTACAGGAAGAAGCTGCTCGATGCAACTAGAGGCTATGCTCATAAGTGAAATAAATCAGACCCACGTGGGTAAACATCATATTGTCTCCCTAGTGTAAGAATCTGAAAGAACAAATAAAATCTAAAAGGTACAATAGGTATAGTAAAAGGGGAAAGAAACTGAACATAAGGAATAAAGGAATAAACAGTTGAGATGAGAGAGGAGAAAAGATAGGAAAAAAAGGGGGAAAAACATATATATATATATATATATATATATATATATAACCAGGGATTGAACTCAGGACCTTGCGCTTGACAGCCAAGCGCTTATTCTACTGAGCCATCTCCCCGGCCCTGATCTGTCACCCTTGTTGCTGGGATTGAAGAGGACAGGCTTTGACACTGCTTGGTGTGGGACCCTGGGCCAACTCTAGTCCTTCCTGAGCCTTATTTCCTTCATTTGTAGAGTGAAAGTTGTGACCCAATATAGCAGAACTGTTGGCATGATTACATTTTGTGTGTGTGTGTGATGTTTTTTTTAATGTATTTAGTACAAGGTGTACAGGGTCTCACTATGTAGATCAGACTCAGTGATCCTCCTGCTTTCAGCCTCCCAAGCGCTGGGATTATAGGCATGTGTCACCACGCCTGGACTCAGGGGCCAGCAGAGCATGCCCAGGGGCAGGGCTGGTGCAGCATGTGGTGCCGGGGATGAGTCCCAATCCCTGAGCTTGCCTAAGCAGGTGCTTAGTCCACCGAGCTGTCTTAGCGGCCCTTCTATCAGTTCTTTGAAAGTAGCAGTTAATGTTTAAAATTTTTACTTTGACCAATTTTATATGCTAATATCTATAATCTGAGCACAAGGACAGCAAAGTGCAATATAACAACCACAGCTGAATAGCTTTCATCTTGTTCTTTTACATGTGTATCATCCCTAATGTCTTATCTATTATTCTTTCACTCTCTTTAAAATAAATTTAAACAGTTTCAAACATGGGTTGTCCTACAATGGTGTTATCCATGAAAACATTTTGTGATGATGAAAATGTTCTGTGTTCTCTGTCCAATATGGTGGTCATGATCAAATAAAAGTTTAATTTAAAATTTAAAAAATAAAACAAAATAAATTTAAAAATAAAAAGTAAAAGGACAAGGAAAAAATGTTTAATTGCTTGATCAATCTTGCATACTATATCTGGTAATCTGAGCAATAAATTTGATGATAACAATACATAATTTAACAACCGTTATTAATTTTCTATTCTTGTCTTCAAATTCTGTACTATTTTTATCATTTTATGTTGTTTTGTTTCTGTCTTATTCTTTTTTTTTACTTTTTTTCTCTTTAAAATAAAAAAAAGCTACTATAACACACTAAAAAAATCAACAACAAAGATCTGCCACATATACCTTATTTTAAAACTCATGCTATAGGGGCCGGGGAGATGGCTCAGTAGAATAAGCGCTTCCCTGGCAAGTGCAAGGGTCCGAATTCAATCACCAGTTCCGCCCAAAAAATAAAAATAAATAAAAATCATGCTATAGGGCCAGCCAAATAGCTCAGCAGATTAAAGTGCCTGCAAGCAGGCACAGGCTAGGGGTTTGATCTCTGGGCCTGTCATGCCAGCCCCACCCCCAGGGCCCACTGAGATGGCAATTGAGACTAGGCATGGTGGCATGTGCCTATAATCCCAGCTCTTGGGAGGCTGTAAACAGGCAGATCACTACGAGTTTGATCTAGTAATGAGACCCTGAGCACCCTATAGATCCTTACCTAAAAACAACAACAAAAACAACAACAAAAAAAAAAAAAAAAAAAAAAATGTGCTATATACTCAAAAAAACACAAATAGTGTGGTCCATGAAAAACCTCAAAACTTCTTTGAAAATATATTTCTTATCTACAATTTTCTTTCTATGTGACAAACTCTAGTAATGATTTCTGCACATCTGTGCTGACTGGATTTGTTCTAAGAGTCAAAAATATTTTGGGGAAAAGAAAAAATGCTCAACAGGAGAAATTCCAGGACAGACTGGGTGGAGTTAAAAGAGAAAGGAAAGGGAGCATCCAAGCCAACATGTAATCTAGACACAATTAGACCCACACTAACTCAGAGTTCTAGGCTGCTTGCAAACCACTGAATATCAAAAGAAAAAATGTAAGCAAATAATGATTAAATGAAAGGAGCTAGGGAGATAGAGTTGATGAAAATTCTTGGAATAAAGATAGGTTATAAAAAAAAGATAGGTTATGATTTATGTCTTTTATAGAAGGTGATTATCCTTTCCTGTTTATCCAAAACAGTCCTGATCTATGCCTGAAGGCCTGACAGAATTTTTCTTTCTCATGTAGGCTAAGTAGAGATAAGCCTGGAGCTATGGGCATATTTTCACCGTAGTATAGATGGAGCAAAGTAATAATCAAGAATGATTCCTTGGGGCCGGGGAGATAGCTCAGTAGAATAAGCACTTGTCTGGCAAGTATAGGGTCCTGAGTTCAATCCTGGTACCACAAAAAAAGAAAAGAAAAGAAAAGAAAAAAAAAAAAAGATTGATTCCTCTATGGCCTTCAGTTTGTAAAGCCTGACAACACTAAAAGTAAAACCCTTTAATAATTTTCAAGCATAGTACCATGCAATGCTTGCCATTCTGTCACTCCACTTTGCCTTATCAGTCAAGGCCCCATGTCCATTTGACTTTGATAAAAATTCAAAAAACATAAGGACATATTTAGCAGAAAGTACACAGCTCTGGGCCAGGGAAATGGCTCAGTAGAATAAGCGTTTCCCTGGCAAGCACAAGGGTCTGAGTTCAATCCCTGGTTCCACAAAAAAAAAGAAAGTACACAGCTCTACAAATGTCCGCTTAACCTTCTTCAGATTAACAATACAGAAATTCTATGTTTGAAAGTCTTCTATTGACAAGCAATATGACAATTCATTAGGTCAGTATTAACTTATTACAAGGAAGAAATTTAGCAAAGACCATGCAAGTATAAATTTACCTAGTGACTGCAAATAGGTTCACTTGTCATTCTAACATAGCTTATCCACCCACAGATTAAACAGTAACAAATACTAGATAAAATAACTGCACAAACACAATAAACTGGCCAAAATGAATGAAGACACCACATGTGGTTCAGTTCTGGTATTTCAGTATAAGTGTGTATTAGTGTATACAAATTAAGATTTTATGGTTACATCTCAAGAATTCTAAACTGTGGAAGGTTTCAAAACAAATTTATTCTTAGACTGGATCTTAAAAATAAAATTTACTAATGGTCTCAGCAATTTATCTGTTCTCCTAGAAAAGCTGTAACCAATAATTTAGATGTAAGTTATACTAGACAGAATTCTATTTTGGTTTCATTAACTCAATCTGATCAACATGCCATCTCACCTGTAGCTACTTTTCTGGATGATATCACCTGATGTATCTTGTTCTTCTTTAGCAGAAAATCCTAAAAGATGCCTCCTTTGACTTGCATGGTGCACATTAGGGTTCATTCTCCTGGGATCCTGTTCCAGCATGCTGGGGAAAAAAAAAGAAAGCAAACAGTAATTGAAATGAAAATGTTACATATGTGCATGCTACATACAATCTAAAATCAGATTTTCTTCATAGATCCATACATAGATCAAATGCCACAGAAACAAATCAAAACAGCGTATTGATACATAAATACTCTATGCCTGGTATCCTATATATAGTAAAAACAATTTTGAAGATTTCTGTAAGTGTAAAACTTCCTTATCAACTGTTTCAACAAAAGCAATATTCAAAAAGTTTAAAAACCCTATAATGGTGTTGCATTAGTTATTATAGTTTGGATCTTAAATGTCCCTCAAGAACCCAACCGTCAGGAGGTCCGGCCTCATGGAAGGATGTGAGGTCACTAGCAGTGGCCTTGGAAGGAGATATTGGGGCTGCTGTCCCTCCCATTCCTCTCTCTTCCCAGCCACTATGAGGAACACAGGCCTCCTCTGCCCCACGCACCTATGATGATGTGCTGTGCTGCCACAGGCCCAAAGCGATAGGGCCAAGAGACCAGACTGTGACTTCCTTTTTTAAATCAATTTATCTCAGGTGTTTGTTACAGTAACAGCTGACTCATATGCAAACAAAGCAGAAACACGAACATGCAGCATTATGTGTAAATAAATTTGAAACTTAGCAAAAACCTGAGAAGTTCTTATGGATGCTACAATCTGATGCTTTCAATGAGGAACTATGTCAAATAAAGGCATTCTCTTTTGATAATCAAATTCACCATTAGCCTTTCACAATCCTAGAAGCCAGACTATTAAACTAATATTAAGGGCCTCCCCCAACCCGCCCACAGAGTAGGATTTTCTGCCCAGTTGCGGGAGCCCCCAGACCCAGTCCTAGCCCAGGTCCGGTGAGTGTGCGGAGAGTTTCCTGCTACCCTGCGCCAGCGGGACCAGCCCCAGGCCAGGCACAGCGTGGGCCACACCCTCTCCCAGCCCCTTGGGCCGCCCCCCACCACTCTGCAGTGCCTCCCCCACCCCGCCCGCAGAGTAGGATTTTCTGCCCAGTTGCGGGAGCCCCCAGACCCAGTCCTAGCCCAGGTCCGGTGAGTGTGCGGAGAG